GAGGCAGGAGGCAGAGACAGGAGGCAGAGGCAGGAGACAGGAGGCGAGACAGGAGGCAGAGACAGGAGGCAGAGGCAGGAGGCAGGAGACAGGAGGCAGAGACAGGAGGCAGAGGCAGGCCACACAGCATCTGACAGAGCCACCATCTCTGTGCAAAGAGCACAAGGGAGCCATAGAAGGACACAGGTAGAGCAGTGGCATGAAGCAATACTCAATGAGTGACTAGACAAATAAGGAAACCCGAATCCTTGGTCCTTCCTCCTCCCAAGCCCCAACCTCACTGCATTCTCAATTTGCACACAAAGTCCACCCAATAGAGGTCCTCACCAAGCCACCCAGACCATGGAACCTCAGGGTTGGTAGGGACCCTGCCCTCCATCATCTAGACACAGTCCTATTAGCTAAGCACTTTCTTGCCCTCTCTGAATCACAGTCCATCTCCAATCGGTGTGAAACTTGATTTCTGGACTCAGCGTAGGCTTCATAGCTGGGTGACTGCCAACAAATTATATCCCCTCCGTGAGCATCCTTTTCTGTGACTGCACTATGGGGACAGTAGTGTCAATTGATTATTAAGATAATGCAGATAATGTCTCTAGTGCCATATCCAGTCTTTAGTAGATGCCCAGTAAGTGACAATTTAATCTGAATTCATCCTGAGCTCTATCTTTCTCCCAACTGGGCAGAGTGGCAGCTCTAAGATAGCCGCCTGTGTACACATGTATCAGAGCTCAGAGTTAAGTCAGCCCAGTCAGCGGCTAAATAACTGTGCTTGTCAGAGAAACCCATAGAAAAAAAGTAATTAAAAAAATCACGAATTTCTCCATGGTAAAGAAAGGAGGAATTGAAGGAAAAAAAATGTTTTCTTTTGGATATAATTCTTCATTGTTTTTTATTCCTTGAAAAATAGCTGGCATAATCTTGCTTGAGTTCAACAAATTAATGTTATCCTACCAAAAGAAAATGAATTAAATATTCTAGTAGACAATAAACATTTGAAAAAATTATCTATTGGTATATTTATTTATATGTATTCATGTATTCAATTTACAATTGCAGGCTCATTCCAGGCTAAGTGTTGTGAATCTGAAAGACAAATAAAATACAAGGCCACCCTTCAGGAATGTCAGAGTGTACAGAAGACGGAGATATTTAAACAAACAGCTACCACACTGGGACTGGAGTGCAGGGGGAGGGTTTGAGCAAGGAGTGCCGCTGTGACTCTCCCCATTTGTGTTAAAGTCAGGAAGAGCTTCACCTAGAGGTGAATCCCATCTAAGCTCGACTTGATGGTCATGTTCTGAATTTTCCAACTGAGCAGAGAAAGAAGGGTATTGATAGCAGGAGGAACAGCTTGTGCAAAGAAGTGCAGGCCCAAGAAGGGTGTGTTTTCTTCCCGCCTACCAAGCTACCTCTTTGTCACTTTCCATCAAGGGCAGGTGCATTATCCTAGGGAATGTACACAGGTTTGGCAGTCTATTATGGGCTCTACAATCCCTTCATATATTAGTTGTGCAAGTCCTTTTACTCTGGGATTCTATATTTCTAGCTATAAGATGGAAATGATAATAGTCACTGATTTGCAAGGAACAAATTACGAGGTAGTCGTAAAGGGTCAGATTTCCTGAGCGCAGTCCTCCCACCACTGCAGTGGATGCTGTTGTAGATGCTGTGGTGCTCCACTCAGAGTCCTTCCTACAAGTGAGAAACTCCAGCCCATAGTGGCCAGGAGTGTAGGTGTTGACATCTTACAGCAGAGCTCCTCTCCAGACATCACCCTCCCCATTGGCTAGAGAGAGTCACCTTGTCCAACAGCCTGCAACAGTTCAAAGATTTGATCTTCTGTCTTCAATTTATCTCAGAAGGGTCATCTCAATTCCAGAAATGCCTGAGGGACCAGCTTCAGCTTCGTTCCAGGCACTTTCCTCAGTCCTGCTTCTCCTACCGCCTGAGAGGTATTGCTCCATAGAACACTCCTCCATCAGCTTTCTCTAAGAAAATCTCCAATTCAGAGTCTGCTTCCTTGCATCTCCATAGTTCCCAGAAAACGTATTGCTTTTAGTGGATAGTTCTTCAGAGGTTCTTGAGAGACGTGACAGAAAGTAACATCAGAGCCCCAGAGAGGAGATGCATTTGGATAAATGACCTCGTAGAAGCCTCCCTGGATAAGGCATAAACTGGACTGTGGGGTGACCGAGACTCACCTCCAGATAGAAAGCTCAGCACTGCTATTTGAGAGAGAGAGTACAAAGAGACCAGGCTTCAGAGTCTGCCTCCAGAGTCTGGATTTAGTTTTAGTCTTATCTTCTTGTATATTTTAATGAAAGCTGTGTCATCCTGGACACCCGTCTTAGCTTCTCTTTCATTTTGTCATGGGGAGAGACCTCACTGCCTTGTAAAAATTAAAGCATGAAACATGTCTAGCCCATTAGCTGATAATATGGTAGACATTTGGCAAATGCTACTGACTTAAGCTAACTTAAATCTCCACATAACAGTAAAAAAGAAAACAAAGTAAAAAATTAAGCGAATTCTCCAGTTTATGCCTCAGAGAAGCCTAAGCCAGAGGAGAACTTTGGCCTCATACCTCATATCACACCACACATGCACACATGCAGACACTCTCTCTCTCACACACACACTCAGGCATGAGCCGCAATCCACAGGGAAAGACGATTTAGAGTGCTTAGGCACCATAATAAACTTTACATGAAGTACAGCAGTAGTGTTCTTAATTAAAATCTCTCAAGAACTCTTGTTGTTGACAATATTACCACCCAAAGCCATATTTACCTTGTTAATTATTCAAGTTGCAGTGAATAAGAAACAATGCCCAAGCTTCCTATAAAATTTCCAAAAATTAAGCCAGAGAAATGGGCAATAAATGTCATTTGAAATGGTACTGATGCCAGTTAATTACAAGACAACTGTAAAATAATGGGCCAGGAGGTGCTTCAACAATGCCTAATTAGTAACTATATGGACATTTTCTTGGAAAAAATGGTAATTACACGTTACAAACACTTAGCAGTCATCATCAAAGGCCCTTAACCAATATTAGCTAATTAATCTTCCCCACAATGTCCCAGCAGGAGGTAGCACCAGTCCCCACTAAGAGAGAGCGAGGAGGAGGCCAAGAGATGAGATGGAAAATCCTTGTCTCCTCAGCATCTCTGAAGGACAACTTTGCACTAGCAGCCTAGGACCACCCAGGAAGGGTCCCCAGGCAGGAAGGACAGATTGTTTTCTTAATGCGACTTGCCCAGGTGACGCATAAGGTTAGTGTTATGAGGCACCTCACATCCTGGCTGCTTCAGAGAACCTCCCTCCCTGACCCCCTGCAGCAAGCATACTGGCATGCCTGCACTTACCAGCCCCTTCCCTTTTTCTCAGCCAAAAGGCTTTTTACCCCAAACATACAAAGCCAAAAGGAAGGAGAAAGGAAAGATACTTATTTCCATAAAGCCAAACTTGATTTAACTCAACTATAAGATCCAGAATTATTTCAGGAGTATGAATGATTTTGATGAGGTGAAAATATTTTTTAGAAAGAAGTAAACCAGTGGGGCAGGGTGGCTCACACCTGTAATCCTAACATGCTGGGAGGCTGAGGCCAGTGGATTGCTTAAGCTTAGGAGGTTAAGATCAGCCTGAGCGAGAGTGAGACCCTATCTCTAAAAATAGCCAGGTGCTGTGGTGGGTACATGTAACCCTAGCTAGTCAGGTGGCTGAGGCAAAAGGGTCAGTTGAGCCCAAAAGTTTGAGGTTGCTGTGAGCTATGACACCATGACAATCTATTGAGGGCAACAAAGTGAGACTCTGTCTCAAAAAAAAAAAAAAAAAAAAAAGAGTGAACTATTGTTATGAAAACTCTCATTTGCACCTAAATTTTGTAATCTTTTACCTGACAGAGGTACAAAAATTGTGTAAGCTCCAGACCCAATATGAACTGAATCTGCCAACTAGCTGGTTGAGTTCTTCCATCTCTGAATGAAGGACCACATTGCGTCCATTTCAGAGGGTCTGGTACCCTTTTGAGGTAGACTCAGTTTCATAAAGCTGAGATGGGCTACATCATAAAGTGAGGCCTACACTAGGTACACTCCTCTACCCAACTTCATCTGTCTTATAATAAATCTAATTCTTCCCACTAAAACAGTTACAGTGTAATCATGATAAAATGGAGACGAAGAATGAGGAGAAGGAAGAGGAAGAGAAGGAGGAAGAAGAGAAAGAAAAAGGATGAGGGGAAAAAAAGAAAAAGGATGAGGACCAGACGGCAAGACGTGGGGAGCATCAGTGAGGGCTGCACCCTCTCCTCTTTATAGTAACACTACGAAGGAGGCAGAATTACCTCCTCCAATTTATACATGACGCTACTAAGGCATGGGGGGCTTAAGTGGCCTCTGGTCCCACAATTAGCAAAATGATGAGTCCATCCCTCACCCCATCTTCATTCCATTCTGAATTTCTAGTTTTTTCTACAGTGTTGATTTTAGGGTGAATTTCCTTGTCACCTCTAACCTGTCTCTAAACCCATAATGAATTGAAAGCCAGTGGGCAAGCATAAAGAATTTTTGGAATGATACCATCCTAATAAAGTGTTTGATGAGTTGAGATCCAGTTCCAGGTCAAATCCAAATACAATTTTATTAGAGCATCGCACTAATATGTATTTTGTTTTTTTACAGTATCATAAAAGAGGGAAGAAGCTCACATAATACCTGGAGGATAAACATTGGAGTCTACTAAGCCGACGTCCCAGCATCCTAGATTCTAGTCATTTCCTGTCAAATGAGCACAAGAATAGTACCTACACTATGAGGCTTATATGAGGATTACATGGGCAAATGCACAGGGTCTGGCACACAGAAAATGCTCAATTACTATTAGCTATTTTTCACACTGTTACCCTATTAATGATTGCTAATGATAATTTCTTCTCTCAAAGTGTACTACTATATTAATAAACAGTGCTGGCTTCGGAGTCACACAACCTAAATTTAAATCTTTTATTATCTAATTGCTTTCTATATGACTACAGGGACCTACTTAGCATTTATGTGCCTTCGTTTCCTTATGAGTAGAAAGGGTGTAGTGATAGGATCTGCTTGATGTTTTTAAAAGGGTTGGTTATAGGGGTTAGATGAGATGATGTCTAAAAGGCATTTGGCCTGGCACCTGGCCAATGACAAGATCTTGATCAATGTTGGCTATCGATATATTTCAGGCAGACGTTCCTTAAACACAGAAGGAAATCAGTCCAGTTTTGAGCAATAGATTCAACAAAGTTGAGTTGACATTTGGTCAACAAACCCTTGTTGCTGACATACTTCACAGTAGGCAGCATCCTGTCGGCTGGTGATTCAGACATAAATGAACACACAGGCCCTGCCTCAGGGGGCTAATAGTGTGTTCTGGTGTAGACAATGTAACAGGAATCATTAGGTACATTGGAGGGGGAAAGACTTTTTTTCAGAGCATCCAGGAATATTGAATGAATGAAGCATCTTGTAGTTTCTCAAAATCTCACGGGAATACATTTTTATCCAACTTCTCACACAGCATCAGAGTTTACTTATTCTAAATTTTTATCTCAATAATGAACAAATCATGAACACATGGTGGTGCTTCCTAAAGTGACAGTCTATAGACAGGACTTTTGTAAAGCTTCTGTTTGAATAACTGTAAAGTCCCTCCAGCTACTGATCCTGAGGTCTCCTCGTCCTTTCTTTGGAGCTGGGCACAGAAAACCTGACCACCCTTCCATCGGCTGGGCCTTTCTCATGTGTCCACTCCCACTTCTGAGTCCTCATTTCTTCAGGTTACACTTCCAGACACACCACGGTGAAAGTCCAGTAGACACAACATGTTTTCTAAACAATGAGCTTCCCAACGGTAGAACTGACAACCAGAGCTGAGCTCTGGGTACCTGGTACCACAGCTTTTGGTCTCAGCATCTCCTCCTCCACCAGGGTCCACATCAGCTCTGCCCACGCTTGTGACTTTGAGCCAACTCTGCTAGACTCCCCTCTTCTCAGTCCATCCTTTCTGTTGGCCTAACCAGTGCTCTCAGCCACTGGGTAAAGGACCTACTAATATCATCCCTGTCTCTGGGGTCTTCCAAACAGGGCCAGTGGGAGTCCTCAAAGCACTCCCTGTTGGCATAAGACCAAAGCCAGCTTGTCTATACTATGGGTCCTCTTCCAAATAATTACTCATCCCCTTCCCAAATCTCTAGAACTGCTGACCCCTGCTCCTGATGGCACTTGTGCGATGGACCTGATGGATGATCTTCCTTGGTGGCCCACCTCTCTTCTCCAGAAAGAAAAAGTAGAATAAAGTCCAAACCTCACTTACCCTTCAAGGCCCCCTTGAGCCTGGTCCGTACCTTTATCCCATCTGATTTCCCACTCCACTGCCCCTCCCCAAGCCTTGGCAGACCTGCAGTCTCAGCCTGGATCTCCACCTCTGACGTTGACAAATGACATTTTTGTTCTTGTGAAGGTTTTTTCTCAGCCACTTCTGCCATAAAAGCCTATCTCCCCAATGAAGTCTTCCCACATTTCTCTGAGTTAAAATGAATTAAATCCATTCTCCTCTTCATATTTCAAATAGCTTTTGAACATCTTATAAAGTTAATTACTGACTCAAAAAAATGTTGTAAGCTGTCATTATAAGGCAAGGTTTGCTAGAGGTATAAGGGTTATTACCTCATTTAATCATCCCCAAAATTATATGAGGCAAACATAATCATTTAAAATCTTCTTTTATAAACAAGAAAGCTGATGCTCAGTGTTATTTAGTGTCTTTCCAAGATCACACGGGTTGTAAGTGACAGAATCATTTCTGTCTACTTCCAATGCCTATGTCATCAGGCCCTGGGCTTTGTGACATGCTGAGACTCCAGTGCTTACTGCAGGCTCAGAAGCAAAGATGTTGTAAACACATTCCTGAAAGGCAAGCTCTTTTTATGGAGCAGAAGGAAAGAAGTGTGTCCTATAAGGCGTGGACGGACAGAGGACAGGAGGCCATGGCTAAGGGAAACAAGGCTGGATAGAGCTGAACTGTGACCCCTGGTGGCACATAGAGAAGAGATGTCTGAAATAGAGCTGGATATAGGAGCTGTCCTGGGCAGTCGGCACTTTCAAAAGGCAATGGAAGGGCACTCCTTTCAAAAGGCATTGAAAGGAGCCAGGCACAAAAGGCTGCCCATGCAGAAGGCTGAATATTGAAGAACTGTTTAAAAATGAATGAGAAGGGTTTCAAAGTCAAGCAACACCTTTTCCTGCCAGAAGATCTCTCAGACCCTCAGGCACAACAGGGTTTTAGAGATACCTCCTAGAACACTGAGTGGAGTACTTCCAGCCCATCCTCGGGGAGTGTGGAGGTCGTTGTGGCCCCACCCCATTCCCTATTCAAAGCCAACACGTGCCCCGGGTCACTGGCAGGCACACCCACTGACATCTGCTTGCTCAGGAGTCTGAGAGCATCTCTCTTCCTTTCCAACCTCCTCCTGGCCAAGTCCTCCAGTTTAATTCACATCAAGGAGCTATTATGTGAAGACTAATCTCAAGCACTAATTTTAAATAATAACAATCCCCCTAATAGTGACAGCAGTCTTGGGCAAAAGTAAGCTTATATACCCTTTAAACACTATACAGAATGTGTCATAAATGAGGCATATCCCAAATTGGGACTGGCAGGCAGGTTTCATCTAGACTGCCAACTCTGGTTCATTAGTAGCGGCTGCCTGGAATGCCTTGAAAGGATTCTAAAGTTGCATCTAGGCTCAGCCAAAAAAATGTGCCATTATTGATCGGTAATGTCTGCCAGAAGCTCAAGGGGGAGAAGCATGAAGGAGGAGCATGTGGGAGCAGAGGAGCTGCAGTGAGCACAGCCTTGGGTGTCAGGGATGATGTCTTACAGGTGATGAAGCTGTGATGACCCCTACAGGTAGGTAAGAGACAGGCAGGTGAGGTGGGTCGAGCTGCCAGAAGAGGGGAAGGGACAGTTCTCTGGCATAGAAACAGCATAAGCAAAGGCATAGAGTATGATATGGGAAAAAAAGGATTGTGTTCAGAAAACTTTCAGTAGTTGAGAATGACTCAAGTGTAAAGTGTGAGTGATCAAGTTCAAGGCGAAATTGATGGTTAGGTTGCAGCAAGGCCATACAGGACCTCGGTTGATTTGGTACACAGTAAATTTGACATTAGAAAAATACAGAGCTAATCACATGTTCATTTAACAGGGATTAGTTGAGTGGGGTTTTGTGTGTGTGCATGTGCGTGTGTGTGTGTGTGTGTGTGTGTGTGTGGATGCATGCATGTTTCGTGTCTGGTTTTTGGCCTGATTTCGTGTTGAGAAATTACAGCTCTGGCATAAGTATGAGTGACATCAATAGACAAAAAAGGGAATATGAGAAAATAACCAAGTTGAGCGAACACTGGGGAAATAGAATAATCTCTCTAATCACACAGGTAAGGACATGCCAGATGAACTTACCAGGGCTTACACTGGCTTCATTTGTTTCCACAGAGACCAGTATATAGGCCATAGGTTCTGTCTGAGGCATACCCAGGATCCCAGCCCACAAGCAGGAGGTGAAATCAGCCCTGCAGGGGCCTGCCACCTCCGCTGCAGAAGACTCTTAGCATATATCTCCAGCTCATGACACACAATCATCACACAGGTCAATCATGTCTTATTCAGAAGAGAGTTACCATTTACAAAACTTCCAAGAGCAGCCCACACAAAATAAGAGCAGAGAACACGAAGAAAGTACACCAGGAAGGGCCACATCTCAGTCACCACTGGTTAAAGCCCATCGCCACAAGCAACCCTGCTTCCAGGACACCTCAAGGGACAAATATGAGAAAAGCAGTCCCCTGTGAGAAAAGCCAGCCCTGCTGCAAGCATCAGAGGACAAGATCTTCACGACATGGGAGAGAGGGTCTTTCCCCAGGTTGTTCCCATCACTGGGGGCTGCTGACCCAGACCAGACAAACACCTCCTGGAAGACACAGGTTGCATACACAAAGCCATCCTCATCCTGTAGTCCCTGTAGTCTCTGCATGGCCACATCACACTGACCAGGCTGCTACTGTCCACCAGCCAGTGAAAGGCTCCAGTAGCCTTCAGGACAGCACAGCACAGCTCCCAGGGTGGAGAGAAGGGTATGAGGGGGCAGAGAGAACCCCCTGGGAAGCAGCCCAGGAATCTACAGGATTATGATACTAAAGAAAACAGAATTGCTTTCTCCTCCTTCACTGGAGACTTAGGAACCACAAAGTCACCCAGCTGGACCAAAATGGTCAGGTTATCTCATTGTGAACTAGGAGACAAAACAACACAAAAAATGGTAATCAATTAAGTCCCTGTTTGTTATGAAATTAAAGGCATTTCCCCAGAGGTACAAAAGTGATGCACAGTCTCTGGCATCTCACTGTTAACCAGCGTTAGATGACATCTGGATGGGGTCCACTGCCTCAAAGTGTTCCATTCCCTCTCTGCCATTTCAGACATCACGGAGATCAGGAAGCAGCAAAGTTCACCTGGACATGCTTTAAATGTCAGGGGCGATCTCACTCTTGATTTGCTCTAGAGTGGATGACAGTGTTAAAACACATGTGCCCAAGCAAAGGCTCAGTCTCATTTTAAGTACATTTCCACATGCCCTAATTGGTGAAGCAGGCATAGCTCATCCATTCCAATCTGAGAACTTTGAACTTCCAGGTGAGCTAAGTCCATGTAGCAGCAGGAGATGGGAGTGACCAGACCTTGGTTCATAGGTCTTGAACCTGGGGCTTCATGTTCATGGATTATTTTTAACATTAATCAAGTGCTTTCCTCCACCTGACAGAGTAAATTCAATGACAGATATAATATGATAAATTGTAAGAATTAGTGACCTGAGGTTCAGAGTAAACTTTGTTTTGTTTTGTTTTGTT